CCCCCAAAGAAGCCCCCCTACAGTCATCGTCGAACCAGTGATCCCGCTTTCTTCTCCCTCGCTCGTCACCGATAGAAGCCACACCCCCGCCCCCTCTCCCCCAACCAAGAGGCCGCCCTAGACCTGCCTCTGTCAAGATTAGACAACCACTGTGCGGATTCCAAACTACTGATGCCACTGGAACGTTTTTATACCCTAGGCAAAACTATTTCAGGCCACTGGATTCCAAGCTGTAAAACTCCAGCTAATATCTACTGCCTATTCAGTTCATGTGTACCATTCCTCTTCAAAAATTGCCCGAGTGGTCGCCCGACCGAAGGGACAGATATCAAAAAAAAAAAATTTTAAAGGCTTTTTACAACCTTATTTTTACTAAGACCATTCTCAAAAAGCATATATAAGTTGGGCAAATAAGGCAATTACTAAATTCGGCTCGGCTCGGCCGTTACTTTGATCTCTGCTAACAATAATATTCTCGCCGAGGTTCGTCGATCCTGCTTGGCATTTTGTCAAGTGTGCTGGGTATCGCTCTTCAGTGCATGGCAACTGGAACGCGTGGTTGGGGTGTTGACTGGGGGAATGGGGTGGTTGGGGAGGAGGGCGGTGGTGGGCGAGTACCCAGACACTTCTCCGGGGCACGGGTTAGGAGAAGATGGAAGAGAGGAACAAAGGGGCTAGTGAGGAGTACGGAACGATTTCACCAGCATACCATCCGCAGCAGCAGCAGCGTACTCGTAACTGTGGGGCAAGCTGACCAAGAAAAATCGTTCGCAGGTCGTGTATGACGCCGGCCGAGCCGAGCTTTAGTAATTGCTGTAGTGCGTTCGCTAGCTTTCATGTTGAAGAACAACGGCTCAATTCTGTCACTACTAGCACTCTCATAAAACACTGAGCAAAACTGCCATCAGCTTGCTTCTAAGCAATCTCGAAAAACAGAGCCACTAACTGGCCGCTGCTGGTTTGTGCTATCGCGTAATATATCAAATAGTGATTAATGGTTTTTTTGTTAAATAGATTAAAGACCAACTGCGTTACTATGACGCAGTACCCCTGTCCCTGGTTCAAACTTCAATCGTCCTACCCTCACTGAACTTTCGAACTTTGTCCTCTGGGGTATAAAAGCACTCTCCACCATTACCGAGCATCATTTACCGACCTCCTCCACGGACCCCTTCTACCGACCATTATTACCGATCTCCGCTGCGACTTACTGATATAGACTAATATTTCTATTCTGGGGAGCTTCGGCTCCCCAAAGCCTCACCTACCTTTGTATTTAACCTTTTTACTCTACTATGTATAATAAACGTGTATATAGGACGCGGCATGTCACTCACACACACACACACACACACACACACACACACACATACACGCACACACGCACACACACACACACATGCACCTACCCACGGGTACTCACTAGTCCAAATAAAATTAACAATTAGGGTCGCGATAGTGCTAACAATCGAACCATTTCTAAGAGGTTCTGCTTCTTAAGGAGAGTTAATATGGAAGAGAGTTTCTAAAAAAAAAGACGAAATTCATATTGTTGAAAAAACTGGTAGCAAAACGATACTTACATGCAATAAAGAGCTGCTTTCTGCCAATATTTTCGTGATTCCGAGAACATCGCGATTTTTTCAATGAAATCGATGAACATGCAGCAGAACGGCGCCTCTAGTGCTACTATCAGTAAGCCAAATGCCCTAAAAAATAAATTCTTTTCGATGATTCCGTAAAAATAAAAATTCACTGTTTCCATTAAATATTAACAGTAAATGATCTATGGGCGGAAGGATGAGAAGCAAGGGGTGGGGGGAAGGGAAACAGTGGAAATGGGAGGAAGAAGTGGAAAAACTTAAAACAGTTTTTCGGCCTCTCTGTCACACAAAACTTCGAACTTTTAAGAAATTCTCCGAGATTTATTTACATGCATATGTCATTCTACGAGCTGCTGCTTCCTGTAGATGATCGTGGAAAAATCGCTGGAACGAGACACAATCCGAAAGGACCGAAAAAAGTTGGAATTTAAAGCCAAAGTCATCAGTAGGCTGATGCACAAAATTTGGTAACAACAAATGCGGGAAAATTTCGTTGCCTCCTCATAATTTACATAGAATTACTACCCGTCTCATATGTTAGTCTCCTCCTCTTCCATCTGCTCCATTACTTTTATTACTTTCATGCTATTACACTTTCTCTTCTTCTCTTTCACTTATCCTTCTTGCAGATTAGTCACATGTCTTTTCAATACATGGCGGGTAGGAGGCTGTACTGACGATTCCCACTCCTACCC